TCCACCAGTGTTGGCTCTCGTGCTTTTGCTTAGAGTTCCTTGAGGACACGGTGGAATTTGCTTGTGCACATGCCGTGGAGACCCAGGCGGGCCCACCTCCATCCTCCTTCCCGGGCCCTGTAGCATGGGGTCCTCCCAGTGACAGCTGAAGCTCCGCTGGGTCCAGTCCTGCTGAGGCCTGACTGGTGAGGAGTACCAGGTTTCTTCAACTCTGTCCCCAGTTCTGTGAGCACCATGCCTTCCTCCCTGTATCCTGCCTGGGTGCTTACTCCCTTGGATCCTGGTGGCCCTGGACCATGTACGCCAAGGTGGCAGGGCTGAGCTCCCCCGGACAGCCTGAGGCACGCCCTGCCAGATGTGGTGACTCCCATGTCTGCCCAGCGGGGCCACCTCGCTCCTTGACTTTTCCTTTTTGAGTGAAGACAGTAAAACAGAAACATGGGGGCATTTTTCCTGAAGCATCCACAATTCCATCCTTGCCATACAACCTCCTGGCTTCATTGTACCCTGGGCTGCTCATTGGCCTCGGCAGTCTCGCTCCCCTTGCTCCACCCTCACCTTCCCGCCCCCACCAAAAGGGACAAGCAAGATGGGGAGAGGGCAAGAGATAGTGGGGCTGTGCCTGCACACCCGGCCAGCTCAGACTCCCGGAGTGCAGGCCCAGCTGCCCCCACCCTCCCAGCACATGCCAGACGCGCTTCATGACTGCTGTCACTTAGACCTCAGTTTCCACAGAAGGTAGGTGCAGCTGGAGTCCCTCCACCTTCCAGACTGACACATGATGGCATCGTGTGGCACCTTCAGGCCCAGCCCTCTCCCTCGTGTGATGCATATGAGAGGCCTCCATGATGTTGGGCGCCAGTGGTCACTCCTTTCTGTGGCTATGCAGCCTCAATAGAATTAGACTGGGTCACCAGTGGCTGTCATAAAGCTGTGTTAAAAGTGCACAAATAGGTTCTTTTTTTTAAAAAAACTTTATTTTATTTATTTATTTTTATGTGGTGCTGAGGATCAAACCAGCACCTCGCACGTGTTAGGCAAGCACTCTACCCCTAAGTCCCAGCCCCAGCCCCACAAATAGGTTCTTAAGAGAGCATGTGCTTGCTTTCTTCTGGGGCCCACCTCTAAGAGCAGCGTTGCTGCATCCTCAGGTCAGTGTGAAGTTACAGGGTCTCCCGAGGTGGCTGCACCACCCCACATTCCTGCTGGAATCTATACTTTTAACTTGAGTAAAAGCAAAGGTTTTTAATTGAGCCCCAAAATTCCCTAGAAGGGGGACCTGCACTCCACAGCATCAAGTCTCAGGCCAAGAATCAGGGGCTCTGGAACCCTCCCTCACCCCTACAGAAGGGCTTTGGCATCTCCGGGTCCCTGGGGAGCTGCTCGCACTCCCAGGCCTGTTCCGTGGGCGTGCCGTGCTCCCAGCAGCGCTTGGCTGCCGTGCTCCTTGCACAGCCGTCAGGGTGGTTTCTGGAGGTGAGCATGTACACCCCAGGGTTGGAAAGTAGGAGGTGAGGCCACCCCCATCCCAGGAATGGGCACTAGAGTTTCCTAAAGGGCCCGTGCAGGGAAGCAGGGTACTCTTTCCTTCTACGCATCTGCTCCTTGAGGGGACATCAGGGTGTCCCTTGCCTGCCTCAGGTACTGTGTTTTCTCGTGCCTCTCCATGGCATCTGTTGTAGGTGGCAGAGTTCACATCTATTGTTGAGTTCTGCCAGTTCCATCTCCACACAGTTTATTGAGTGTTTTCATGCTTTCTAGTTTATATTGTCATTATTAATGGCTAATTGTAATTGTGCTGTGACAATTAATTACTAAGCCTTTCTGCTCTGTGGACATTAAGCTCTCTCTGAACTTTTGCTCTTACAGATCCATTCCAGCCTGTACTTGCTTTTACAAATCGCTGGGAAAGGCTCACAGGTTGTTTTTCTGTGCAAAAAGAGCATTAGCCAGTGAGGTCAGCAGTCTCCTGTGTGGTTCGTGGGCCCTGTATACAGGCAGCACAGAATAAAGTGGCCTTGGTGTTGCCTGGCCGGGATGCAGGGCCATATGAGGTCTGTCTCTGTGGTCCCATTGGTCTCAGATTTAAATCTTTTGGGAATTGTAGTTTTCTTGTTTTTCCTCCTACCAGCTGAGGATACTGAGGGCCTGTGAAAGTGTGTCTCTGTTATTGGAATGGTGGAAGGTGGGTCAGGGGCCAGGTTCCGAGACAGAGCACAGAAAAAGCTTGAACTGCCTTTGCAGAGAGGCCCCTCTTGTGAAACTCGGCTCCTGCGCTCTGCGGGCCCCACGAGCCTCCTCCTGCGGCACCTCCTCCCTCCACAGGGCTTGGCTATATTAGCGCCTTCTGGTCCAAACATTCCAGTCTCTGGTCCTCCAGCCTGGGACTGACCCCTGATGACTCACTGTGTCTGTTGCATACGTGGCCTGAGGTCCTGCACAACCAGCCTCTGGCAGGCTTTGAATAGAGGTGCAGTCTCAGAGAGGGTCTTGAGCTAATATCTAGGGGCCTGTGGGGGGTCAGCTGAAGGCTGCCAGTTCTTAATCCCCAGCCCACAGGTCTGGACAAGTGGTGAAGGAAACTCGGACGGCTCCCCTCTGTCCTGCCTCCTCCACCCTCATGGTCCTGTGGCTGTGCAGTTCCAGGAACTATTTGAGCCTCTATTTTAGGTATTGGGAAAAATGACCTCATTGAAGGATAGGGATAAAAGAGGTTTCCATTTTCCTTTTCTTGACTCTTCCAAAGAAAACATATGTGCCTTCTGTGTCTCACACATAGATACATGCACACACACGAAACACACAGCATACACCAACATGCAGACTCCTACACATGTGTGCTCACATGCTTCTAGGAGATTTGGAACTGGTCCTGTGTGCCATGGAGCATCCAGACTGTCATCAGTGCCCTGGCTGATCTATCCGTCTCCTGGACAGAGGACCTGAGGGCACACAGTGCTCCTGCAGGGTGTGGCCCAGCATTACCATGGACAGACCACATTGTTGGACACCTGAGTCCCCTCCTTCAAGAAATCCTAACACACATCCCTCCTCGGCACGGGGATGTTCAAGAATGAGGCTACAGGGAGCTCTTTGCTTTATTCAAGTCCTATTTTTCCAAACACCCTTCCTCCACGAGAAGCATTCCTATACCCTGACCATCCGGGGTACAGATTAGACAGATAAGCAAGTAGGAAAGGGTGGAGAATTGGGTCTAGAGGCAACACTTGTGCCCCTTTGAAGACCCGTGGGCACCATCTGTGCCGTATGCTGTGTGCCGCGACTCCTCCCCAAAAGTGGGCTGGGGGCAGGCATGTGAGCTCCTGGGCTTGTATTTACTCAGACCCTGCAAGCTGGAGCTGATGTCATTTCTGTCATCGTGGATGTATGTGGCAAGGCCACCAGGAACCCTGAGGTCAGATAGCTCAAGCTGCCCGCTTGGAGTGTTAGAACCTATGCGGGGCTCAGGGTTTGGGTAGGAGTCAGCCTGTGTGGTGGCAGGCTGGAGTGCGGGCAGGGCTGTAACTGGTGAAGAAGGAGGGCCACTCTTTTAGCCAGAGAGAAGGTGTTTGGTATTATGGCCTGTTGTTGGCTTCCCGGTGGCCTCTGTGACCCTGGCCCATGTTGGCTTTGTGGGATCCTGCCCCGCTGCTGAGCGGAGCACCTTGATCCAGCCCTGAGGACCTGGCTGCCCTGACCCTTTCCTTCTCTTGCTGCACAGCATGGCGTCTGCAGGTCCTCGTGTCCTAACAGGAACTCCAAGGGAGGGCATCCCAGGAGCCTGGCCTGGATTGCAGGGCATGAGGGTGTTCACAAGAGCCTGGGCAGCCTTCCCTTCGTGCGAGCTCCTGTGTCCTGAGAGTGCTTTCACAGGGCCATTTGTGGACCCCTCCCAGCAGCCTGCCCCTTGCTGCTCAGGTCTTCCTCCGCAAATCTGCCGGCTTCCTCTGACCGGCCGTTCACTCAGCAGGCCTCAGTGGAGCCTGCCTGAGCCAGGGATGGGAGCACCTGGAGGCACCTGGCCAGCCAGAGCCTGTAGGTAAGCCCCAGCAGAGGGACCCGGGAGGGGCAGCTGCGTGAGTGTGCACTCAGCCCAGCACCCTCCAGCCCAGCACCCTACCCGGAAGTGCCCGAGGCTCTCCTTCCCATCAGCTACCTTTCAAAGAGCAGATGCTGACGGGGTCCCAGAAAGCCAGCAGTGCCATTGCTTGTTGCCTCAGGGGTGACCAGTGGGTTTGAATGCCACGGCCATGGTCCCAGCCAGTTGACAAGCCCAGGAATGCATTATAAAGTGTCACCAGAGCACCCTTGTGGAGCTCTTATGAAGTGAGATGAACCTGCACTGAGCCCTGGGGGCAGGCACGTATGCAGGAGCCTCACACTGAACCCCTGTCTGAGCACCAAGCCCGCCGCGGGGCTGCCGAACCCTGCCTGCTGGCTCTCCGGGGTTCCCTCCCAAGCTCTGTGTGCCACCTGCCTCTGGGTGGAAAAATGGACAGCTCGGCTCCTGCCCCCACCGTGCCACAGCCAAAAGAATGCTCCATTTTCAGATTTCATGTGCCACGAAAACTTGATCCAGATGTGCCTCCTGTCAACTTTGAATTTCATCAGTTCAGCCCCTTCCCAGGTTTTTGTGCGACAGTGAAAACCCAGCAGTAGTAATTATCTGGCAGCTTCATCAACCCTTTCTGACCCTCCGTGAACCTTTCCCCACCTCCGTTTTCAGGAGGCGACCAGAGTCAGTCTTGCCTTTTTCTTAATAAAGAAGTGGGCAGCCTGCTCAGTCATTCCTAGTGCCAAAGGCTAGGAAAATGGTCGTGTTCTCTTTTTATAACGGAATCAACCTGTAGCATAAAGATACTTCGGTTTTTAGAAAGAAACTTCCCATCGCTGTGAACTGGCTCTGGCCCCCAGCCAGCCTTGATGACCTTCCGGGTAAGTCAGAGGCAGGTGCTGGTGGGCGGCGTTGTGCTTCCCAGAGAAATGAACAGAGTGCTCACCTGGGTCGAGGCTCCTGGCGCCCCTCGGGGATGTGAACCGGAGCTCCTCAGGAGCGAGGCTCCCTCCGTCTTGCTCTCCCTTCAGTTGCTCTGTGCTCACTGAGAACAGTCAGGCACAGAAACCCACAGCTTCTTAGGAAAAGAGGAATTGGCTGCGAGTCACCAAAACCACACACTGTATTTTAAGCAGCGTATGGTTTGGCCGTGTGACCCAGAAAAAATTCAAACCAACCTATGTCAGACGCAGCTCAGTGTGGAGACAGGAGAAGTGACGTTGCACTGTGCTGTTCAGAGCTTCCAGGGCCTTCCCCTAGACACGCTGGCCCTTCAGGGACACTCCCTCCCAAAGAGTAGCAACGTTCATAACTTTAAATAGGAGCTAAAACCCCACCCAGATGGAGAAAGTCTCAGAGCCCGGAGCCAGCAGAGCTTCCCTCGGCCCGCGCTGCAGGCCAGCCTCAGCCCCACCCAGATCGGGGTCTCCGCCATCTGCACCGACAACCGGGTGACCTGGGACAGTGGATGCTCCATTCTGGATGCCAGGTGACCCAAGACCTAACTGCAGAGTTGGGGGGCCACTGGCACCCAAAACTTCACTCAGGGGCCGCATGGAAGTGGGCTGTGCCAGGACACGCGCCAGAAAGCATGTCACGGGGTGTTCCCCAGCGCCCTCTCCGCCTGGCCTTGCTGAGGAGGCTGTGGAGCTGACAAAGAGGAATCCTGGGCAGAGGCCCCACATCTGAAGGGAGAGAGGCCTGGTCAGACAGAGGTGAAGAGCTTGGGCATGGCTTTGGAGAGCCAGCTTCCTCCTCTGGCTTTTCCTCAGGCGGCCCTGTTGGGAATTTAAGGTACACAGTCTTCCTGTCCTTCCCCCTTGGCGTTCCTGCCCCTCCCTCCTTTTGTTTTTGTATCAGAGATTGAACCCCTTAACCACAGAGCCACATCCTCAGCCCCGCCCCTTTTGTATTTTATTTAGACAGGTCTCACCAGGTTGCTGGGGGCCTCACTAAATTGCTGAGGCTGACTCTGAACTCCTGCTCAGCCTCCCATGCCACTGGGATTACCGCACCCAGCTCCTACCCCTCTTTGAAGGTCGTTCCATGTTAGGGGACCCTCAGGGACTGTTTAGGCTGCACCCAGCTTGTCGGGGGTCACTGGCCACATCATAGGAAACCTGCAGGATCTGCAAGAGGACAGTGCTGCCCCAGAGCCCCGAGCTCTCCTGGCGTGCTCACTGTGGCACTGCCCCTCACTTCCCCCAGCCCCCTGAATTTGACAGGAAACCTGTCTGGACCCTTGGTCCAGGCCGCTGGGTGGCCAGAGTAGTCCCTGGCTATCAGTCCTGAGGGTGATGAGTACTGGCTGCCCCAGGGACCAAAGGGTCTTTTCCAGGAATGCAGATGTGGTGCCGTGGAGCCCTAGCGTTTGGAATGTTGTGAGGGGGACCTCTGCAGTGGTTCTCCTGCTGTCCCCGCAGGGGTTGTCTGCCCTTCAGGGCTGTCGCCAGGCCCTCTGGCACCTACTGCCCACCTGCTGTGTGTCAGCCCTGAGGTGAAGGCAGCTTGTCCAATGGGTCACAGTGCATGTCAGCCTCTGGTAGGTACCTGGCCCCGAGCACAGGTGGGGTGCAGACCCACCAAGAGCCACCAAGCTCCCAGCTTCAGCTGAGAGTGACCACTGGTGTTTCGCATGTGACCCTACGTCTGTTTGTGTGGCCGCTGCTCTAGCTTTCTTGGTGGCTTTCAATAGTTCCACAAACCCACATTCTACCCCAGCCTGCAGAATGGTCCCTGACTCCCAGCCCTGTGTGCCTGGCCCCCGAGTAAGTGATCCTTGGGGAATGGGCCTCTGCCCCACCCATCATGAAGGGCACTCAGGAATGTGGGACTGCTGTGAGGATCCCTAAATGAAGGTGGGTGGGGTCTCTAGAAACAGGAAGTGCTGGGAGTCAGGGGCCAGTCATTCCTCCCATGGGTCTCCTTACCCTGCTGGTGCCTGGGCGTCCCCACAGTGGACTTAGCAGGGCATGGAAGTGGGGTGGGGAGCCCTGGGGTCTGGCCTGGTCACCCACTTGCCAATGCCCTTTGGTAAACCAGCCCCCACACCTTCCTGGCCTTGGTTTCCCCTCTGTAAAGAAGGGAACAAACTCCTGTCCTGAAGCCTGCTGCTTGTCCTCTGGATGTCATACCCTGTCCCTGGCTGAAGGGATGAAATCTATGCTGTCATCCCCTCCAGGAACCCATCCTTTGGCCTGTCACGGGCAGTGCTTGGTGTCACCACTGCCGGGGACCAATGAACAGGACTGGGCAGGAGCCCTGTGGGGACAGGCCCCGCCCCAGGTAGTGGCCACCCCTGTGGAGGCACGGCCAGCTTTGGCCCAGTGTTTGTTGTCCATAGACTTCTGTGAAGTGTGGGTTTCCCTAGAAAGGGCACCCTGTCTCCCAGTTCCAGGAGCTTAGGCCCTGGGGCCTCACCGAGGCCTGGCAGAGCAGATGGGCTTTTCCTCAGGGACACTTGGCCTGTGGGAGGGCTCTGAGCTCCTGGAAGACTGAACGCCGCTGGCCCAGTGCACTGTCCTCACCTGGCCCGTGATGCGTAACTGGGCTGAATGAACTGTGTGGCTTGGCACCTGTGTTCATGCCTGGGGCTGTTAGCAGTGGGGGCGCTGGCTTGAACAGTCGCTCTGACTGGGAGTTAGGAATTCAGGATGACAGGGCCCCTGGACCGTGTGTTTGTGGCCCTTTACTCTTAGGGCCCACCACACAGGAGCCCTCGAAGCTAAGTGCAGGATCAGGGTAAGCAAAGATTGTTCTTTGGGAACACCATTTGAGGGGGTAAAAGGACACTGCATACAGGAAATAAGCAGAAGGGCAGTAAGTGAGGGTGTGGCTTCCTTCCCTGGCACCCCGAGGAGCACCGACCCTATGTCATCTGGGTGGACACTCAGCCAGCAAGGCACACTTCGTCCCCTCTTTTGCTCCTTTCCATGTTCCAGGTACTCTGTAAGAATACACTGGTTCCTGACCTGTCCCATCTTCAAATGCGGTGCCAGGAAGGCCCTCCTCCTGCCCAAGGTCTTGCACATGAGTGTCCGCAGCAGCACCTTTCCCACAGCCAAACAGAGTGTGCAACCACATGCCCCATCCAGGGAGTGGGTCAACGGTGTGGTCCATCCACACATAAAGGAATGACATTCACGACCCTTGAGCTGTGTGCTCAGCGAGAAGCTAGACACAAAACCAGGTGTTGTATTAGAATTCCACGAAACCCAGGAGAGGCACATCATGGCGATAGAAAGCCCTGGGAGTGGCTACCATGGGCTGGGGGCCAGTTGCATTTTGTATCATTTTGTATAATAACAATAATTGTCTTTTTGTTTCTCTTGACTTTTGTCATAGGCATCCTTGAATTTTTTTAAAAACACAATTCAGTTATTTTTAACAAATTCATAGGATTTGCAGCCATCACCAGAATGTAGGAACACCTTTATCACCTTTGAAAAGACCCTTCCTGCCCATTGCTGTCTCTTGTCCCCACCCAGCCTTTGGCCACCTCTGACGTGCTGTCAGAGCCACATGCTAGTCCTGTTCTTGGCCTCCCTTTTGATTTTCTAGTTGATCCAAGGCTCCTCCCAACCATTTTTCACCCCAAAGCTGCTGCGGCGTTGGCCGTCTTCCAGCTCTTCCAGCGTTTGCCATGTCCATGTCCTTGACAGAGCCCCCCTCACGGGTCTTCCCAGCTCTACCATGAATCAGGTGGCATGCTCTGGTCCTTGGTGGTCAGCTGGGACTCTGCCGATGGTGCTGGGTTTCAGGGGCAATGGGCAACAGCCCCAGGCTCACCTGCCTCGGGCTGCCCCAGCTGCCACCCCAGCTGCCATTCTCACTGAACAAATGCAGCTCTGCTGACTGTGCAGCCCGGGTCCCCCTCAGAGCCCTGGACAGGTTGCTCTTGTCCTTGCTCAGCCTTTCTAGGTGTCACCCCAACAGTCCTCCGAGGAATTCAGCACGACAGGAGGAGGCGAGGTTGTCCAGGGATGCCTTGCTCAGTCCCACAGCCCTTCTGGGCCACCGCCAGGGCTTTTGGCCCTCACTCCAGTCATTGCCGTATCCACAGGAAATGCTGGGAGAAAAGAGGGGTGCCCTTTTGCTGGGCACTGAGTCTTAGATCCAGCCCTGGCAGCCACCTGGGTGTTTTGCTTTGCAGGTGTGTGGCCATCATCCCTGACGTGCTGGTCCTGGGACCCTGGGGTGGGACAGTTCATCCTGGTGGAAGCGAAGCTGCAGCCTGTGGCCCCTGTGCCCATGGCCCTGGGGCCCAGCTTGCCAATGGCTTCCTCTGTGGTGGCACCTGTTGAGGCTCAGATGCCCAAGGAATGGATGGGTCCTTGGATAAATGTTCTTCTGAGGGGATATTTTGGGGTCCTTCTATCTCCTCTATTGTTTGCTCAAAGTCAGTAGCTGCTCCCCCATGTGGTGCTTCAGATTGGCAGCACCGCGAGAGCCACTCGCTTGGCATGCCACCCTGTTTGAAGGGTCTTTATTACAGATGGGGAAATTGAGGTTTGAAGGCAGGGCAGCCCATCAGAGAAGGCTGAACTAGCCACCTGACGGGCTGGGCCAGCTTCCGGGCAGGAAGGAGGGACTAAGTCCTCATGGGGGCAGGTGACAAGCTTGTTGACATGGGACCTAGAGAAGGGGCTGGGTTCAGGAGAATGGCCCAGTGGAAACGCCCTCGACAGGCCACTTTGAAGGGCACTGCTTTCTTCTTTTAATGGGACTGCTGCTTAGGAGAGAACCGCATACCTACAGGGTAGGAATGACCCAGAACAGAGGTGGGCCAGGGACACCCTAAGATGCTGGATGGCAAGGGTGCCAGTGCTACCACGACAGGCTGAGTGTGGCATGCACAGCATCTCTGTGGAATCGGGGCTGGCACTTAGTCCTTCATGATGACCAGACAGTTCTTTGCTGTCCTGCCCAATTCTGGTTGGGAGGAGCAGGGTGGGCAGTCAGGGAACTCTTGTGGGTCCTGGCACAGACTGTAAGGAGACATGCTGATAGCTGCATGCCCACATTGGATGTGCTTTTTGAAAGACACAAGGTACTAGGAAGAAACAGAAAACTTGACAAGTCCCATAACAACTCATGAGATAGAATTTGTAATTAACACACTTCTACGAGGAAGGGCCAGGCGTTCCGGCTTCATGGTGTAGTGAACCCAGGGTCTAGGGAGCAGTAACAAGGGTTTCTTCCTAATTGTGCATCACCACAGAGGTGGGACCCACTAGTCTTTCCTTGATTGGACTGCTGGAGCGCCCAGGAGCAGCGCTTGACCCAAAGGTGTGAAGGGATGGCGGGAGCACCCGCGTCTGGACTCTGATCGAGTGGTGGCAGGTACTGTGCTCTGGCAGCCTGTTTCCAAGCTGGGACTTGGTGTAAAATAATACAAGCCTGCCATGGCCAGGCCCTACCTGTGCAGGTGGTTGAGCTGGGTCTGTCCCACAGAGCTATAGACCCCGGGGTGGGGGGGCACCTTCACTGCATCGTGTCAGGCTGGAGGCTCGTTCGTGGTGGCAGCTCATCTTTGCTGGTGATGCTGGGATCACCTCTGGTGATGTGGCGATACACTGAAGTTTCCTCCTTGATAATTAGAATCCTGCAAGAAAGCACCCACTTGACCCTCTCACCTCGTGGCTTCAGCCTCTCTTTACTGTCTTTTTAGTGCTGGGATTGAGCCCAGGCTCTCATGCTCACTAGACAGGTGCTGCCAAGCTACCTTAGCCTCTCATGGCCAGTCTCTAAGAAGTTTTCATTTGGACCAGGCATGATGGCACACACTTGTAATCCCAGTGGCTTG